ATGGGACAAGAGGAAATGGCCTCAAGCTGCTCCAGGGCAGGTTTAGGTGGAGCTGAGGAACAATTTGTTGTCAAGCACTGGAACAGGCTGCCCAGGCAGTGGTGGACTTACTGTCCCTGGAGGGATTTAGCAGACGTTTGTGGATATGATGCTTGGAGACATGGGTTAGTGGTGGCCTTGGCAGTGCTGGGTTAACAGTTGAGCTCGATGATCATGAAGGTCTTTTCCAACCCAAACGGTTCTCTGATTCTCTTTAAGCCTTCACATGCTTTTTTCTTTATTTATAACTTAATGCTGTACTTACTCTGAAAGGGTTTGAATTCTGAAGCAAATTTAACACTCAATTGCGTCGTCTTTCATGTGCCTCTCAGCCCTCTGGGTGTCAGAAATGACATCTGTTAGCAGCGAGGTGCCTGGCTTTGGCACTGTGTTTGAAATGCCTGCCTTACAGACTTTCTGCTAAAACTCATCGTTCTTCAGGCTTCGTGATAGCTGCACTTCTTTTCTTTCCAATTCCATTTTGCTTGGGTGAATAAAAGAAGAGAAGGCTCCAGTGAGACCTAAGAGCAGCTCCAGTGCCTAAAGGGACTACAAGAAACCTGGAGAGGGGCTATTTTGGAGGTGGGTGAGGACTTTGGGGGTAGCATGGAAGTGACTTAGGCTTTGCACTGATGCGTGCAAGTTAAGCCTGAATAAAACATGTTTCCTTGAGCCTGGAGAAGGGGGAGAACAGTGGATACTTTCTTCTCTCTTTGCTGAGATGCTCTGGGAGCAGCAGCTCAAACTCTTTGGGATGAGGTCTATTCTCTGGAGCTGGAGGCGCAGGGAGCTGGTGGTCAACTGGTCCATTAACATCCACAGGGAGTTGGTGGTCAACTGGTCCATTAACATCCGAATGTCCATTTACACCTTGCATACTTACTGCTGTCAGGTAGGATACAAGGAGCAGCATCAGGCCCCTTTGCAAGGTGCGTGGTGACAGACAAAGCTGCTGATCCTTCAAGGAGAGAAGCCTTAATCTCAAGTTAGGCAGAGATCCCAGGTGCAGAAGGTCAGCAGCAAGATACTCCAAGTGCAGGACAACTTCTCTAGGCTATGGATGGAAAGGTACAAGTTCCCCACATCTTGTTAGTGCTCGATTACTCCTCGGTGCTGCGATCGCTCCTCGCTGTGGTGTCATCGCTGCTGTGAGATATGGTACATGCTGTTTATTACACAGCACTGACACCAACAGCTCGAGCAGAATCACACTTGTCAAATAAAAGGGGAAAATATTTGATGCTGCATCTGACATCTCCAAAAATTAGAAGACTTCTTGCAAATTAGTTGTTAACATGAATTAGAGGTTTTGCCCGTGGTAAGAAGGTAGGAAAGTGCTGGCTGCAGCGGGTTAGACTAAATGAGCTCCTGGAGAGAGAGGGCACTGGAAAACCTGCCCTGCTCCTGCCAGAGATCACTGCTTCCATCACAAGAGCTGATTAAAGCATTGAATTGCTCTTGTACCAGAGTCGTTGCTACTGTATTGATATAAACTAGTACAGAACAACATTTGTCAGCTGAATATTTTACCAAGTGTGCTTTGGGGTCCTAAATCACAGCAAAGATCTGGGGATAACACTCAGAGACAGACGTTTTTATCATCTCTTTAACTCAAAAAGCAGTGTGAAGATCAGGTAGGACATAGCCAAACATCCCACTGAGTTAGCTTGTGCCGTAGGAACTCTGTCCTCTGGTGTCTGTGTGCTCGGGAGGAAGTTTTGCTTTTTAATGCTCAGTTTGAGCGTGGTTCCAAAGTAGGAATAGGAGATACTGCACCAGTTGGTGTTTGGGACGGGTCTAGTTTTGGGTTATGCTCAGTCCCCTCATCCCCTCTGCCACGGTTTGGTTTGGTTTGTTTTTTTTTTCCTGAGACTGGAAAATTCATTGGCTGGATTGTTTCTGAACTGTATTTTCATTTACCTTGTATTACACTGTGATCAGCAGGAGGTTAAGCAGGGATTTTATGTTTAGGTTGAGAAAGAAGAAACAATAGAACAGCACAGAGACCCCAGCTGTCTCCTGGACACTCTGCAGGGCACAGGACACTGGTCAGTGTGTGCTGGGGCATTTGGTGGTGGATGTCTTTCAGATGTATAGACTTGTATCATAGACTCACAGAGTGGTTTGTGTTGGAAGGGACCTTAAAGCTCCTCCAGCTCCAATCCCTGCCACGGGCAGGGACACCTTCCACTAGAGCAGGTTGCTCCAAGCCCCTGTGTCCAACCTGGCCTTGAACAGTGCCAGGGATGCTCTTCCAAAATAAGACATATTCTTGCTCCAAAACCATCCTACAAGTGCTCATGCTGAAAGAGCTGAAGAGGCTGAGCTGTGGGTGAGGTCTGTGACTCTGCTGTAGGACTCAGCCTGGGAGGTGAGAAGGATATTCGTGCTTTACCCGGTGGCACGCTCTTATGCCCACTTAATTTGGTAAGAAAAACTCTTCTTAAATTGCTTTCTTTTTCTTAAAACCATACATCCTTTGTCTGGTGAGGACTGCTTGACTCTCCCTTGAAAGCCAGGACATGCCTGACTGTACTTGGCGCAGTTTGCTAATTCAGACTTGAAAGTTTTGCAGGCTCCAGGACTGAGTATCTTTCTAGAAACAGCACGTTTTGTGTTGTTTCTACACCACTCCTTGAGCAATTTGCCTAAAATGGCTTCAGGCTTTATGCTGGATCATCTCTCTTGCGAGCTAAGGGTTTATGAGTTTCTTTTTTCTTCCTTTAATACAAGCAGGTTTAGCCTACCACCTCCAACTTAGTTTTATTGTTTAAAAACTTAATTATTCAAATCAAATCTAGCACAGTTCAAATCAAAGATACCCGGAAATGTGCCTGAGGGCTGGTGCAGTGGAACCTGTTCTCTCAATACCACATTACGGACTGAAACGGCTCTCTTTATTCCTTAGACCTGCTTTTGAATGTTAATGCAAGGACCATGAAATTCAAAGATGATAAGGGATTCTTCAGCAGGGCTTGTGGTGTGAATAAATCCTAATTCAGTGTACAGAGGAGTATTGCAATGTTTTTCAGCATAATCTATACAATGAGCCCAAAGACCTCCTCCCAGAGGAGACCCAAGACCTGATAAGCTCCTTTATTCATCAGGTAAATCTGATGGTGCGTAGCCAGGAGGTTAACAGGGATTGTGGTTACCATTATTATGTGGTTGCCAATATCCAGAGCTGGCACCATGAGGGATGGACAGTGAAGGGGGAAGAGCTGAGGGGCTGGAAAAGTCGTTTGGAAAGGAGTCATGCAGGAGTTACGGGGCAGCACGTAGAGTTGGGCTGATTCCTCTTTAAAGTGGAGGCTGTTGTAGGCTGGTGGCTGGTTTTATGCCATTACAATAACAAACTATTAACAGTTTAAAAAAGGTAAGTTACGCTGTTTTTTAGAAGAGAATAAGGAGAACTCTGTGGAGTTACTTCCAAATGTCTTGTTAAAATATGCAATCCCCATAACTGCACAGCTCCAGTTTATTGTTACTTTGGGCACATAACATGGGGGAGAGCATCTGGTGGTATAAATTGTTATAGCCCATTGAAATGAGGAAAAATTTGCACAGCCCATGCTCTGCCTCACATCTGTAACGATTTGGGGCCCTTTCATTGTGTTGCAAACACTTTCAAGCAGCACGGGGGTGTGTTAAATGTGTTGGAGCTTGTTCCTCACTGTTTGTCTTGTTCCGGAGGATTTATCGGCAATATCCACGGTTCCAGCTTTCCTGGGAAGCAGGTTCAGAGGAGGCTTTTGGGAAGCATGTGGCCGGAGGTCCAGACACAGGGGGTTTCAGCAATGCAGTGTTTTCTTGGGGAGCTTTGGGCAGTGTTGGCACATTGGTTGTCCCCGTGATGGGGGAGGTTTTCTCCACCACAATCACCTGTGTCACCTTTAACTCCATGTTGATCAGCAGTCCATCTGATAACGTGTTCAGTTCTGTGCTTTGGGATGAATCACTTGATACACTCATTTGGTATTTACTTTTCTTGTTCCCTGGCAGGCTCCCTACCCCTCAGGACAGAATGCAGCTCCAACCACACTGGTGTACCCTCAAGCCCCTCAGACAATGAACACGCAGCCTCAGACCCGCTCGCCGGTAAGGGAGCTCGCCTTTACGCCACCCTACGTTCTTTCTTCCTGGTCTCTGTGTGTCTCTGTGTGTCTGTGTATGTCTGTAGCACTGGGCCAGTTCTCTGGAAAATGTGTTCTACTGAACTGGAAGCACGTTCCAAATGGCAAATGTTGACTGAATCTTTCAGACACTTTCCTGGTAGGATCGTTTTCCTTTTCAAGTGGTTTATCAGAAGAGAAGCAATGGAGGGATTCTCATCTCCGTGCAAATAACACCATTTATTTTTAGCATAGTTGCTTTCAGGTTCACTTCCTTTTAGAGTTTAGATTCATTACCAGAATCTTTCTCCTTTCTTCTTTTTTTTTTCCCTTTTTTTCCCCCTTTAAGGAAGTATTTCATAAAGTGATAGACCAAAGCTCAGGAAACGAAAGCAATTCTCTGCAGCAGCACTCAGTCTCCAGTGGCCTCTGGGCCTTGCTTCCAACTCAGTGCCACTGGATCAGTTCTAACCTAGCACCTCGAGGTGCTCACACATTTAACATAGAGCTTCTGGGTACCCAGATCTTTTTATGGTGAGCCCCCTTTTTCATCCAACTTCAGGTTTGATTGTCCTCCATCATCTTTTATTTTTCCTTTCTCTGTGTGTGCACTGGAATACTGCTCTGCTACTGTAGGACCAGGCTCCTTTGGAGGAATCTCTGCTCATAGCACAGGTCCACACAATGTTAGGAGACCCTCCTAGGGCAGCAGATCTCAGCCCAGCTTCTGGAGGCACAGTAGTTTGCCATCACACACCTCAAGCCTCAGCCAAGGGAGCAGCAATCCCTGTGCCTCTTGCAAAGCCACATCTGCATCATCAGGCTTCCAGGTTACCTATAAAACCACTGCACCATTCCCAGCACTTCTCTTTTTAAGTGAGACGAATGCTGCTGCAGTGTGGCAGCTGAAGGCTCCAAGACAGAAGTCTTCTGTTTGTCCAGGTATATACACACACACACACACACAGAGGGTAAGCTTCCTCCCTGTGTGCAGCCACACCGATGCACTTGCCCCAGCTCTGGAGGTTCCACCTCCAGGGGATTTGCAGGAGGGTGAGTTCTGAGGCCCATTAACCTCTGTGTTGATGAACAATTAACACCAGTTTGATGATGTGGACAGCTGCAACTTTGTCCTTAGCCCCCCCTTCTGATCAGTAATGCAGGATACTGATGGTAACCCCCCTCTTTCCTCAGTAAGTATAATCATCTTTAATTGTTGAAAAGCACAGCTAAGTTGATATGGTTAGAACTGGAGCAAAAACCTGACTGAAGAGCTGCATCTCTAAACCAGTTTTTTTGACAGCCCAGCAGAGCAGTGCCAATACATTGCACAGACAACTGGAAGAGGAGGAAGGTTTTGGAACAGAGTCCGGTTTACAGGTCCCTGGCTGGAAGAGGCTGGATAAAATACTGCATTGTAAGCAATATAACAAACTGTACTCCTTCTTGCAGGCGGTTGTGCCGATGGCACTGTTTTGATTTCATCCTTTCTTTCTTTATTAAGTTTTTTTTTATCCCATCTTGGGTTTTGTTGGCTGATCTACAGCATTGCACTGGTTTTGCTGCTTTGCTAAAAGCATGAGCTGCCCTGGCAGTTCCTGGCAGGTCAAGTGGTGACGCCAGCTCCAAAGCTGGATTGCAGCTGGGAGGGTCTGACCAGGGGTAGGGCAGAGACCAGGCTCACTCTGGGTTTGCTGCTCAGCAGGTAACATCTGCAGGGAATTTGGCTGGAAAATGGGTCAAATTGTAGGGTTTTGTCCCTGTTACTGAGGAGGAAGAACTTATCTGCAGCTCTCAGCCATTTTTCTGTTATTTTTTTAACTCTCCTGTGTGCAGACTTTGCCACCTGCTCTGCTAGTGACCATTTCCACCCCCATTACTAAAAGCTGCTCCCGTAACATCTCATTCCACCTCCCCACCCCAAAACAAATGCAAGACTAGCCCTGTCCTGAGCTACTCCTGCATTTCGTTCTGGGCTTGACTTTCTTTTGGTTTTTAATGCTTATTTTTTAATTCATTTTTTAACCATCTGGTTTTGGTGGTGAGGGGAGGGTAAGGAGGGCATGAGGAAGGTGGCAGGGGGTCTTCGTCATCCCTGGGCAGCCATAGCATGGTCCCATCCAGCACGCAGCTGGTGCGGCTGGTCTGGGTACACAGCTGAGGTTAATCCTAACCCTGCTTCCTCAAGCAGCTGGAGCTTCCTCCATCCTGTTTCTGCATCCAAGGGCCATTGGCAATTGCAGAGTTGAGGCTTTTCTGCTCCTTCCAGGACAGCTGCCTTTGCAATCCAACTGGCTGCATGTTTTCTCCCCATTAGCACCGTAGCATCACTCCGATAGCGAGAATCTCACAGCTCCAGTTGGGAGGAAGGAATATGGACTGGGAGTTGCTCAGCACTACTGAGCATGATCCATTAGCTCTTGCCCATGACAGCCCCGAGCCTCAGGTGATTTTAACAGGAACTGGCCCAATTCTAGGACATCTGCCAAAGAACCCCTGTAATCAGGAGGGTGCTGGAGCGATCCAGAGGTAGTTATTGTCAGGGAGGCTCAAGCAGCAGCAGGTAGAGGACGTGCCCTGCTGTCCATGGAGCAAGAGCAGCACCAGGATGAGTGGGGTGGCAGAGATGCTGCACCCGGGTTTCATCAGGTTTTCCTTTCTACCTACTATCTTCATCGGCCAGAGGAATAAACCAACCCAAAGTGCCTGTGCTGATCCAAGCCAGCAGGGACTACAGTTTGTTCTTTTGCTTACAGCTGCAAATAGGAATAAATCTGATCAACCTGAATGATTTTAAAAAATCAAAATTAAAAGTGAATCAAGAGCCAGTGGTGACCAGTTCAAAATAGATGAGGGTATTTTTCACTAACTTTGAAGTATGTTTTTATTTCTTTATTTTTTTAACCCTTGTAACACATCTTACTTTTCACTATGGAATATATTTTGGCTTCTTAAGGTACAAGCTTGCAGCTCTTGTTTTAAACACAGTGGGAACAAATCTTTTCTGTGGAACAGTGATAAGAGAGGTACTTTGACCCTGAAATGAAGCAACACGAGGTTTTTGCACCCCATCAATCTCTTTTTGACTCATTTTTCTCATTGGTGTGTACCATGGAGTGTGTAGCCCTGCGGAGCAGCACATGTCACCCACCCGTGGTGAGCTTTAGCCCTTTTCTCAAACACAAGCCATTGGAACTGGGCTTGAGGAGTTACTCCTTAAGGAAAATAAGGAACTTGCAGTGCATTCCTCATCCAGGTGCCTGTTTTTCACTGCTGTAGGACTGATGGGCAGAGCCACCATCCTTCACACCCTGAGCCTCAGGAGGTCACTGAGCGCTTCTGTCCCGTGATTGCCATTAAAATAGAACCTTCTGCTCTTCAGTCTTACAAGATGATGTTGCTTTGCTTTTTTTCTTTAATGTAAGGCTTAGGGGTAGTTTTCAAGGGTGGGAAGACTCTGTTTGGTGAATCAGTGCAGGTCATTCCTTATAAACTCTTACATAGACACACATATAGAGTATGTCTGTAGAAACTCTATTTGTGAAGGTTTTTATGACTTTGTACCCAAGTGTCACCATGAGGTGAAGGCAGAAGGAATATATAAACACCAATGTTACCAGACTAGTTCTTGGAAATCTTAAATGTAGGCAATTAAAATGGTTACAAAGGAGAAAATCAGCTGGACCACTGAATAATTACGCTTTGCTTTTCATGTTTGGTGGCATTAAAATAGCTGGAGGTAGGGCTGCAAGGGAGCTACTTTGTCTTACTGAAAAACCCTCCTATTAAGACAACCAGTAATTAGTAACCAGCTTTGATCTGTCTTCTCAGGCATAGAGTAAAGCATACAGAGTCCATGTAGTAGGAATTAGCAGAGGTGGACTGTACCTTGTGCCTCAGTGTGTGCATTAAGTTACTAAACCATCACAACTAGAGACGGGTAGAGGCTGTGGTGGGTAAAAAGCCACTGTGGGATCTTGTTTCGTTTGCTCCATTTAATCACTGGAGCTATTATCAGTAGATTTCTCTGCTCTCATCGTGGAGCTCTGTTCATTACACTGAGAATGAGAGGTTTAAATACCTATCTCAGCTTCTCCAAGAGCATCCCTTGTCATCTTTCTTTGTATTTTCCATTCCTTGCATTCATTTTTATTTCTAACACTCAGTTACTTACTGGGAAATGCTTTTAATGTTTACCAAGCATGTGAAATCCTGATTCCTTTCTTTCATGGGTAACCCAAGCAAGTGGGAAATGGTTTAGTGAGCTCAGGGCTGGGCACCAGGACCTCGTGTTCTTCATCCAAGCTCTCTACCCACTGATGCCTTCAGCTCCCCAGGGATACCACGGGTTAACCTGTCTTCACTTTCAGATGGGGGTGACAAATCCAACTCATTAAGGAGGGTTAGATTGTGAGGTTAAAAGCAAAAGGCTGGAAACAAATGGCACTGTGTGTTTGCATCTTTGCCTTGCAGGGAACACCCATGCCTGGCAGGACACTATAGCTGTGCCTACCTGGCTCTTAACTCCTCTCCAGCCATGAGTCTCCATCCTCCACTCCCACCAAACGTTTGGAACAGCTCTGAGTCCAGCTGCTTTAACCATTTACCTCCACCTTTGAACAGTTAAAAAATCTCCACTGCTGCTTGTTTTAAGTTGGGGTTTGGTTTTATTTTGTTTCCCAGGCAGGATAAGGATTGCCTTTGTTTATACCCTGAGCACCTTTCCAACAACCAGCAGCTTGTGCTGTTAATCTCCCATCTCGAGCAGCGTGCTCCCCCGGCTACTCGTTGTATCTCAGTCCCTGTCTGTCCCTGTCCTGCAGCAAAGCTTTTGACTGTTTCATGGTGGTTGTTATTTTTTTTTCTTGTGGGTTTATTTTTGCATAGAGTGTGACATTTTGGTTTCGTTGTGGTGTTTCTGACTCTTTGTGCCTTTCCTTTTGTGTTTGTTTCTCCCGCCTTTCCTCAGTTTGCAGCGGGGCCTCGACCTGCCCATCACCAGGTACAGTACCTGCCCCTTCGTTATCATCCTAAACTAATTGCTGGGGGAGGAGGGTGGTTGGAGGAGGTTCACCCACTAACCTGGAGCAAAGGCTCGCTTCGGCAACCGACCCCTAGTAGATACTAGCACACGCATAACCCTGCTAACGAGCTGCCTGCAACGCTGAGTAACACTTCTAATTCTCAGTTGGTGTCACTGCACTCATTAACCACCCCACTTAATGCTGTTGCCATAGGAAAGGAGAACCTGGAGAGATCTTGTCCAGGTACTGGTGAGATTCGGTTGCCTTGGTCAAGTCAAGACAGTCTAGAAGTCAAGAAGTCTAGAAACCTTGTCAGCTACTTCAAACTAGTTGGTGATTAGGTTGCCTGCGCTGAGGATGTCAACCAGAACTTGGGAGTTCACATCCCAGAGAAAATCCTGCTTTTCAGGACTTCCCAATCCATAGCTTTCTTGTGCAATGAGCCTGGTGATCTGTTATCATTAAGTTGCTTAATGCTGGTTTTACTTACCCTGTGAAAGCCAACATTTAGGAATCCTTGTAGTGTTCCCATTGCATGACTTGGACTTTTAAAGGAACAACTTAATTAAGAAGAATGAAAATGGGGAATAGCTCATGAAACTCATGGGCAGTGAGGTAGGGTGGCAGAGGTGCCCAGAGGACTCTTCACCATCAGGGCAGTGCACAAGTCCCTTCTGTCCTGCTCAAGGTGTCCAAAGTTCTGTTTTCTGTCAACTCCTACATTCATCTTTGCAAAACCCTTTTCCCCTGGTACTGGAGTTGCTGCAGCTTGTAGCTTTTGAGGAGACGGAGGTGGTGTTGATGGGTGGAGGAGAGGAGGAGAGGTGCAGGGAAGCTCTCCCAGGTCTGGTTGTTTCCATGTCACTGCTTCTTCTCTTGGAAGGAACAGGTTGTTCCCACCAATTTAATAGGGAAATAAAACTCCGCTGATGTTGGGACTGGGGCTTAAGTCACGGAAGGTTTGTTCCATGAGGATTATTTTGTTCTCACTTCACTCCTGTTAGTCTGAGCAGTTTAATCCTGTAGAGATGAGCACCTTTGGGAAAGTGCTGTCTCAGGAGAGCACGTAAGTGTGTTTGGTGGGCACAGACACCCAAAAGAGTTGATTATCTTTGGTCCTTCCACCTCAGAGAGCAGCGTGGAGGCAGGCAGCCTTCCAGAGCAGGACAACAAAAAGGCTTAAAGAGTAGAATGAGGCATTTGCACTTGTTTGCTCTCAGGCAAATGTCATGTGAGAGAGAGGCAGCAATTATGTTTGTGCATGGAAGGGATTGCAGTGACAGCAGTGGTGGTGGTGGAATGTTTGCAGGAGACTGGGCATGCCAGAATTAGAATCTTGTTTAGATACTTTTGTTCTTGACCTTAGCTCCAGGTCTGTGTTTATCCTGTGTGACACTGAGAACGCATCAGGAGTTCCAACACACCAACTCCTGGAACACTCCAGGAGCTGGTGTGTTCTTTCCTAGGCTGTTACTAAGGCAGATGATAGATTCAGTGTGAGGCATTTAATATTCTCACCGAAATCACTGAGCTCACTGCCAGCAGATTTTGGACCACGGGGCTGGAGGCAGCACAGCCTTGGAGGAGACTGTTCCAGCAACTGGTGGCTTTACTGGTGTGCCTCTACCACCAGTCTATTGCAACTTGATTTCAGACTTTCTTCTGAACCCATTTATGACCCTGCCTGCAGGTTAAAACTTGTCATTACCAAGTGTTTTCCCACTTTTATCACTACATATTTAACTGTGTTGCAGGCTGTTACATTTGAAGTCTGCTTGTAATTATCTGAAAGAAGCTGTCACCATCAGCAAAACATTCCAGGCTTTATTCCCAGCTTTAGCTGTCATGTGCTGGCTCAGGGCAGGCCCAGAGAAACCTGGGCTGGAGAAGAGCTGTTTATTTCTTCCAATCCAAAGCTCTCTGCCCGTGGTGTGGGTTGGGGATGGAGAGAGAAACTTTTGCCACGGACCTGCTACACCCTGAACCCAAGACTTGGAGGATGCTCGAGACCAACAGGGATAATTATTCTCCCATGGGAAGCTTTAACATGTAACATAAGCACGTAGGCTTTGAGACTGAGATTTTGTAACCTAAATAGTACTAAATGAGTAAATCGACCATAATGCCATTAATATTTCTTGCAACAACATAACATGCTCTTCTAAAAAGCAGCAACAAGATGAGGTTTGCAATAATTCCTGTGTCAGTCCCAGTGTGATTGTATTAACATGTGCCTCGTATTGATTCTGGGTCTTTTTAGGTCATATAATGGATTGTTCTTTAATGATACTTCCTGTACTATTAGACTCAAATTAGGGTGATTTAAGCACCTGATGCTGACTGCTAACTTTATAAGTGATATTCTTCTGGATGGGGTTGCCTGCCCTGCTAGGTGATGGCCAGTTGATGCTGTAGAGAGTGTGATCAAACTCTGTGTAAGAGACAACAGGAGAACATTCAGGATGCTACACTAAGAGTGTCTGGAGTCAAATGTAAATAGCTGCAGTGGTTCTGATTAAATGTGTATCAGTGACCCTTGATTCAGTGCCACGGCTGTCTGGGAGACCCCTGCAGAGTCCCATTTTGCAGGACAAAGAAAGTGAGCTGAACAAAGTGTTCTGTGGATGTATTTTATCATTGTTTGAACCTCGTGGAGTTCAGCAAGGCTGAGTGCAAGGTCCTGCACCAAGGTCCTGCAGTCCCCAGCACAAACACAGGCTGGGGGAGACTGGATGGAGCAGCCTGAGGAAAAGGACTTGGGGGTGCTGGGTGAGGAGAAGCTCCCCATGACCCAGCTTCAGTGTGTGCTGGAGACCAGAACCCCCCCGTGTGCTGGGCCGTGTGGTGGGCTCCCCCCCCGGACCATGAGCAGCAGCTCAGGGGGGGGATCCTGCCCCTCTGCTGGGCTCTGGGGAGACCCCCCCCTGCAGCCCTGATCCAGCTCTGGGGAACAGCACAAGAGGGACATGGAGCTGCTGGAGCGAGGCCAGAGGAGGCCCCGGAGCTGCTGCGAGGGCTGGAGCAGCTCTGCTCTGGAGCCAGGCTGAGAGAGCTGGGCTGGGGCAGCTGGAGAAGAGAAGGCTCCTCAAGGGGACACCTTAGAGCAGCTCCAGTGCCTAAAGGGGCTACAAGAAAGATGGGCAATGACTTTTTAGCAGGGCACAGGATGATGGGTGATGGTTTTAACTAAAAGAGGGAGATTCAGGCTGGATGTGAGGAAGAAACCCTTTACAATGAGGGTGCTGAGGCGCTGGCACAGGGTGCCCAGAGAAGCTGTGGCTGCCCCATCCCTGGCAGTGTTCAAGGCCAGGTTGGACACAGGGGCTTTGAGCAACCTGCTCTAGTGGAAGGTGTCCTTGCCCGTGGCAGGGGTTGGAGCTGGATGAGCTTTAAGGTCCCTTCAACCCAAACCAGTCTGGGATTCTGTGATTTTTAAATGCACTGTTAGCTTGTGGTTTACTCAGAGTTGTAGCAGATGCCTGGATTGTTTCTCCATTTCCCTCTTTGTGCATGGAGCATCCCTTGTTTTTCTTCTCTCAATGTAAAGATCTTTAGTCACTTTGTTGCTTCTCATCCTGGTGAAACACAATTGAAAGTAGCAGTTTTCTTCTGATCTGAAGTCCAGAATGTAGAGTAACCCTTAATTTAAGAAGTGCTTCAGGAGCATCTGGCTTATTTTAAAATGGATGCTCAGAAGAGGCCAGTGTAATTAAAAACAGCAATAAGAACAAGTATAAACTGAAATGTCATAGTTCCCTTTCTGACTTGTAATTGTATTTGAGATCACTTTACTGGGTATGGCAGACTAATTTAGTTTGAGGTTGCTGGTGTAGTTTGTTCCAGTTTTAGCTTGGGGTTACTCCAGTTCTTCTGGGTACAGCTTATACAACAGCAAGCTGGGCTGGGCCGTGTGCTGTTGTTAAAGAGCCTTGTGATTTGGAGAGGTCAGGAATCCACTCCCTGTACTGACTCAAGACCAACCATTTAGTAGCTTTGGGGAGTATTTCGAGTTAGAAGGAGAGTAGAAACGGCTGCCACAGTCATGTCTGTCTTCATCCATTGCGCCTGGACTGGAGCTGCCACTTCTAAATGCCACAGACACAAAAAGGGTTTTTTTCCACCCAATTTTATCGTTTAGTAGATAATAAAACTGGGAAAGCCTGAAGGGGTTGGGGGAAAAAGTCTTGTGTTGTGCCCAAAGGGCTGCACTGGGTTATTGGTGGCCATTGGGGAAGGAAGACTTGGACCTGGGAGGCTTTGTGCTTCAGCTTCTGCTTCTGACACCAGATCTTCATGTCTCAAGGCTGCAGCTGCTCAGCTGAGCCCTGGTGCCTGTGTTGAAGTTTGAAAGATCAAATATAATGTGCCAGTGTTGATCTGTAAGCAGCAGACACGGCTGCTGCTATATCAGCTGTGCAGACATCCCAGGCCAGGTTATCCCACCTGGAAAGCTGGTGGGATGAAAGACTAAAACTTAATCACAGGCTTGTCCCAGGGTAGGAGAAGCTTAATTGAAGCAGAGATCTTGAGGGTGTGATTTCATTTGACAGCGTTGATGACAACTTGTTGAACTCTCCCTTTGGTCCCTCTCTCTGCTGTCTTCTGCAGGGCTCAGTGGACCCATCGCAGATGCCAGCCTTGATCTGTGCCTGCACACATGGTGTTAGATGGACTAAGCTTAGGATAGGTTGGTTTACAGTGCTCTTCACACAAGTTTATTTCCCAGCTTTTAGAGCACAGGGGGAGTTGCTCCACAGACATTTCACTGGAAGCAATGGCTTAGAAATGCAGAGTGAAGAGAAAATCAATTAAACTGCTGTGGTGGTGTGTCAGGAGGAGGTTGTGCTCTCTTTGCTCATTGATTTTTCTAGATGACAGCCTCTTGTCTGGCGGGTCCTCAACAGACTTTTGACACAAGGTCATGTGGGAGGAAAATCAAGCAGGAGAAGATGATGGTTAATAAAAGGATATTGGAGTGTTTGGATATAAGGAGTGACTAAGAGGTAAACGGCAGGGTAGTGCTGAGGGCAGTGGGCAGAAGGTGAGTAGTGGATACGTACAGGAGCTCCAGGAAACCTGGAGAAGAGGGGCTTTGGACAAGGGCCTGTAGGGACAGGCCAAGGGGAATGGCTTTAACCTGCCAGAGGGGAGACTGAGATGAGCTCTGAGGCAGAAGCTCTTCCCTGTGAGGGTGCTGAGGCGCTGGCACAGGATGCCCAGAGAAGCTGTGGCTGCCCCATCCCTGGCAGTGTTCAAGGCCAGGTTGGACACAGGGGCTTGGAGCAACCTGCTCTAGTGGAAGGTGTCCCTGCCTGTGGCAGGGGTTGGGACTGGATGAGCTTTAAATTCACTTCCAACCCAAACCAGTCTGGGTTCTGTGATGAGACCTTATTGAATGAGGGAGGAGGCTGAAAGAGATGAGCTTGACGCAGCCGATAAAAGTAATGTCTGAGAAGGGTTTCCTTGTGCTCTTCCGTAAGTGTATTGAGGGAATAACCCTTGGAAGGGAGACATTAAAGACCATATTGCTGACTCCAAGATGATCCAAGAAACCCATCCCTGATAGAGCTGGAAAGATAAAGAGATGGGACTGCGACCTGAGGACCATGGCTCAGGTCCTCACTGGTTGCTGCATGGCTGTGTAGCCAGTTTGACCATCATTAGACATAGCAGGACTTAATTTTTGAAGGAGGTAGTCAAGGAAAGGTTGATGAAAGCTATCAGAAGTCTTGCTGTGGCCCAGGGTACCTTATTCAGGTCTTGAGTGTGTTCTGTGTGTGCTCCACTCTGAAATCCTGCACTTTTTAGAAGAAAGAGAGACAAAATAGATCTGATTTTAATCTCCCAGTGTTCTCCTATGGTACATCGAGTGTTACCGGGGAACATTGTCTGTGCAGACATCTGTTTGACCTCACACAACCAATTTTTTAGCAAACAAGGTCAGAATAGTGAAGCATTTCCAAGGAAGAATATTGCTAGCTGAGCCTGGGAGGGACAAGAACAAGGACAGAGCAGAAACCAGTTTGCCAGCCAGATGATACCTGTCTGGAACAGTAAAACGCACCTGAAATGGGATGCGCAGTGCTCTGATGGTACCCGATTCTCTTGAGAAGTTTAGTTTTACTTGCAGGAAGTGGAGTAGCTAAAAGTGATTCAAGCTTTGGTAAGAGATCTCTGGTTGGCACTTCCAAAAGCGTCTGGTGCTCCTGTTGCTTGGAATAATGAATCTGCTTTTCTTCTTGCTGTGTCTGGAAATTCTCCCCCTTCTTCCTCTATCTCTGAGTTGGAGCTACCTCTGCAATGGTGTGGGCAGTGTAGAGTAGTTCTGAGACGTTGCAGGGTTTAGAACAAGAGTTTCCTCATTGGAAGTGCTACTTCTGGTGTGGAACAGCTTAGCACTACCCTGGGGGTGGTTGATGCTCGGTGGAGGAGCAAGCCTGTGCCACACACCACCCGTGCTGGTGCACAGAGGTGCTGTCCTTCCTTCTGTTGCAAGAGAGAAGCCAGCTTGTGTTCATGAAATGGAGTTTCTTTGGTGTGCTACCCCAACAGGTAACATCTCATGATCTTCTAGGCACCGGTGGTGGAAATGAAAAGCTCTCCATGAAGAGGAGTTTCTGTTGCTCTAGGTTTCTCCCCAGTGGTTTTGGTGTTGTTGGAAGCAGGTTTCGTAGGTGCAGCAGGGATGTGAGGAGCAGAGCTCACATCTGGGGCTCACAGCGATGCAGGACTCCCATCTCTTGCAGTAAAGCTTTTCTGTGCTGCCCTGTGGACGCTGTTACTGTCAGCAGAGACAGGTCTCACTTCAACCTCCAGCCCATTTCACTCCGCATGAATACAGAATCATGGTGGCTGTTGACTTTTCCCATCCCATTCTTGGGATACTTCTGCTGTAACAGGTTAGGAAATCATTATTCAGATCTGCAGTGAAAGAAGAAAGGACTTGCACTTTCTGGTGCCTTTGGATATTGAAAAATTACAGACTCTGGTTGTTCTCCCCATAAATTCAGCATATGCCCTTGGTTCCTGCAACACTCCTGTAGTTCCCTACATCTAGACAGCCACAGTTTTTGTTAATGCAAGAGCATGGCAGCTTGTTGCTCTTCTGCTTTCCTTTCTGCAGCTTCCCCACCAAAATTTTCTCCCCAAACAGTTGTCTTCTCCTGGTTCAGGTCACACTTGGAGTGTGCTGGGAACAGTTCTTCATGCAGTTGAACAGGGCTGGATGTAAAAGCATCTGGATTTCTGAGATGGAGTCATCCCTGGCTTTCCTGGAGAATTCATTTGCTATGGGGAACAACTTGGGTATAAAGTCTTCAGCAGCACCAGAATGACCATGTTGGGCTCATTGTCATGTCAAGTACAGAGGCATCAGCTTCCTGCTGCCCTACCCCATTCTTCCCAAATGCTGAGGCACATCAGCCCAGCTCATTCCTTCATTCCTTCCTCTCTTTTCTTCTCCCCACTCATGATGCAGTTGCTCACAGACTACTCCCATCAATGCACTTCATCACTCAGCGGTCTTCAGTGTGATGTGTGATGACCTAATCGTGATTATTTTTTTGCTTAGCACTTAAATACTTGCCATTTCTTATCCTTCTAGTCTTGGTGCAGAAATGGAGACCAAACCCAAGATGTGTGCAAGGGTTTCTGCTTCATCTGCTGTCTTGGTAGCACTGAAAGAGATCAGAAAGGAAAATGTTTGCTGTTTAGGAACAGAGTAACCACAGTGTCTCTCTGTAGCATCACATTTCCTGCAGTTTAATCATGGTTTGCTTGGGTTTTTCTTTTTCCTTTAAATTTTTATACTTCCATATAAAACTTTTCCAGCAGAGTTTCTGACCCTTGCATTGGGATTCGGGTAGAAGAGACCTTGGTGCCAGTTCAGTGTCTTTTTCGTGGTGTTTCTCTAAGAGGTTAGTCAAGGCAGGATAGTAAAGTGAATGGAATTGTGTGCAATTAGGGTGCATGTTATATCCTATTCCTTCCTACTGATCTGTAAGCTGTTCCATTGGCTTTCTTTCTGTTTCCTGCTGCTTTCTTGCTTCGTTCTTGAAGGGAGGATTCAGACCTATACAGGTAATTTTAACTCCTGGTTCTGCATGGCATAAGTGTCTCTATCACTTGTATCATTACTCCGTTAGTGAATGCGTTTATGTCTGATGCATATCTTACCAAAAACTGAGTTTCAAGATTGCAAAGACTCCAGAGCAAGGTCTTCCAGTGCCATGAATGCTCCATCCCGGGGATGCCGATGCCTTTTCCCAGTGCCTAAGGCTTGAGGACGGAGCGTGTTCCAGGGGGTTGCTTGGTTTCCCAGACCTGGTCCATCTGCGTGGGGCATCACTTCATGCACACGTGGTAGAAGGGTTTGGTGCCACCCTGGAAAGAGGTTGCCACCTTTCTGAAAACAGAGGGCAAGACAAGTCAAGTAGAGGAGAGGCACAAGGCACCTCTGGCCTTAGTAAAATCTGGCTTTTTAGCTGTTCTGGAGCTATATTGGAATATTCATTCCCAAGCATGTTTATAAAGGTGTTTTTTGGCAGCCAACCCACCTTATCAAAACTACATTTGACAAAAGTAATTTTTCTAACGTTCACTCTGGAAGTTGAGCTGTGTAATTCAGCAGGTACAAACTAATAATTCCTGGAGTTTAAGGATTCTTACCTTTCTTCTCCATGTGAATTGAAGGCTGGAGCATGAGCTGGCTATTTACAGCTAAGCAGAAATTGTCCTGCAGTTTTCTGAACACGTGGCAACCCTTTGAAAGTAGTATGAGAATTATAATATCATAATGATATTTCCAGTTGTTTTCCCAGAAGGTCTGACCAGTTCTTTGCTTTCTCTCCCCTGCCCTAGTTTTTTCAGAGGCCTCAGATCCAGCCTCCACGAGCCACCATCCAGAACAGCAGCCCTTCCATCCGTCCTGGTGCGCAGACCCCCACGGCGGTGTATCAAACCAACCAGCACATCATGATGGTTAATCACCTGCCAATGCCCTACCCGATGCCTCAGGGCCCCCAGTACTGTATACCACAGGTAACAAACCCCTTATCCCAGCTCCTAAGGGACTGCAGAGCAACATTGGCTCCATCTGGATCCTCTCAAGGCTTGGTGCAGAGTTAGGGGGGGTGTGTGAAGTGAAGCTGGTAGATGCATATTTAGCCTCTGTCCTTCTTCTGTATGAAGTATTTGTTGTTCTGTGTGTGGAGGCAGTAAGAATAAATTACTTCTCTAGGTTTTGAGGTCCCCCTCATAAACAGTGTGAAACTAAGCTCCTGGAGAATGTTCAGTGCTATAAATGTGTCTGAATTGACTTAATAGATCTGCAGTTACTCTAAAACCTTGGGCCTCATATAAACACAGTATTGCTTAAATCAGGATTTACTACTTCAGCTCTCATGTCCTCCCTGTCTTGTCTGTAGATGACACAGCTTTAGCTGTCTTAGATTTTTCTGACAGTAGCTGAATCTGTAATTAATCAGTTTGATAATCAGATCCCTGTTGATTCAGGGGCTTGTTTGCAGTGTCTGTGTGCAACAGGATTTAGTTGCCCAACTCCTTGTAAACTGATGGCTGTTTTTTCTCCTCCTAGTATCGTCACAGTGGCCCTCCGTACGTCGGGCCCCCACAGCAGTACCCCGTTCAGCCACCAGGACCAGGACCCTTTTATCCAGGACCAGGTCCTGGAGAATTCCCCAATGCCTACGGTAAGTTCTGCTTGGAGAATTCCTTCTCAAGTATTTTGCTGCTGTCAAGCTGAAGATTTAAAATAGCAAAATGGCTTAGCATGTGTTTGAACTTCATACAGCTGCTCAACTGGGTTGTGTCACAGCTCTTATTATTCACTCCTGAAAATTCACAATAACAGAGTATTGTTTGCAGGAGCACTTGAGGAAAGGCTGCAGCTCACAGGGCTGCCTGTAATCACACATCAGCAAGAATGGTGGCTACTTGTTATTCCCTGCTGAAGCATTATTATTTATTAAGGTATTGTGAATGCAACTGGCAGCTCTGGTTTCCATTGAGCCATGCCCTGAACATGTCACAGCAGTTAATGTTTCTTACCCCTGTGTCCTCTGTCGGTGTTTAGAGGAGCCACATGGTTTGATTCACTGGTCTTATGCTGTGAAGATCAAGTTAGTCCAGTCAAACAGTTTGTAACCCATGGACAGGCTGAAACTGCCCTTTTAATGGGCAAATCCTGGGCTTGCCTTTTCTGAAGCAAAAGGGTTGGGAGATTGCCTTGACATCATGTGTGTGCTGTGATTGTTTGACACGCGATGGTCAGTGTGTCTGGTTGACTCCCCCATGTATTGAGCTTCAGAGCTGCACCTAAATATCCTGAGGCTGCATCTCACTGGTCATTACTCCTCCAGGACCTCAACCAGCTCTTGTTTGGGTCCCAGCTTGCAGATCCTGCATAGCAGTGAGGGACTGTCCTTCAGCGTCCTGTCACACCTCTTCTCTTGGCAATCCTCTTTACATTCAGGTCCTTCCTTCATGATTTGGGGCCTATAAGGATGTTGGGGAGGGACTCTTTGTTAGGGACTGTAGTGGTAGGACAAGGGGTAATGGGTTTAAACTTAAACAGGGGAAGTTTAGATTAGATGTAAGGAAGAAGTTCTTCACAGTGAGGGTGCTGAGGCACTGGAATAGGTTGCCCAAGGAAGTTGTGAATGCTCCAACCCTGGAGGTGTTCAAGGCCAGGCTGGACAGAGCCTTGGGTGACATAGTTTAGTGTGAGGTGTCCCTGCTCATGGCAGGGGGGGTGGAACTAGATGATCTTAAGGTCCTTTCCAACCCAAACCATTCTATGATTCTATGGTTTCCAGTGTGGTGCCATGTACAATATATATCATATTTATGTCACAATCCCTGTAAGGTTTTCAGTGGCATCTGTATTTTGGTGTTTGAATCAGCTCCTGCAAGCTGTAATTGTATGAGATGCAGAATTAGATATCCTGCAGTCAAGTTTATCACTTCTTTATTTACCTTCCCTTGCTCATTTATGGGAACATTTGGAAAATCCACCAGGATGATTCTAGGCATCACCCTGTTGTAATGTGTTGTGAGGTTTTTTTAGGGGTTTTCACCTCAATATCAAATTGGTGGTATTTTGCTCAGCCTGATTGCTACCTGCCCACACACGTCCTGTAATCTGTTGGGGGCAGAGGTTTTATCAGCTTTCCATGCAGCTTCAGGCTTTAGCTGTTGGTATGCTGGAGCCTTAGAAGTGAACGATCACCTTCCAGGCTGAACAGTGACAACCCATTATTGCTGGCAGAATTGCATGTTTGCTCTTCACAAATCCAGATTCCTTTTAAAGGGGTGAAAAGCCTCAGCTGCCTCTCTACTTGTCATCTTTCCCCCTCCCTTCTTTCCTTTCCTTTTTTTGGTGTATGTAGAGCTAATGGGACTACTTTGAGAGGCTGCCACGAAGCCTTCAAAACTGGTTATGCAGTTCCTGAGTAAAAGGAGAGAGCAGTTAGAAGGCAGCTAGTTCCTGTTTGCCTATTCTAGTGAAAATAAAGAGAAGAAATACTGCTCTGGCCCTTCAAATCTGATCCGCTAAAGGAGGAAATTGCCTGGTATTCCTCTTTTTTCCTGCCTTACAGGTCTGTTCTCTTGCTTTTTGCTTGCTTAGCGCCGTTTCTCTGTCCTCACTCCTGTAATGAGGAGAAGATTCCCTTCTGGTATCTTTCCACTCCTGAAGGCACCTTGTTTCTTGCACAGAGGCTGTCACCTTTCAGTCCCAGCTTGGCTTTAGGTTGCTGCATCTGCAGAGTGTCAGTGGGTGAAGCTGGAGCCCTCAGTCATGCCAAGAGTTATCCAGGCAGAGCAGGATTAGCCAAGGAAGTGGATGATTGCAGGGTTGCCTGTGCTTATCCACCTTTCCCTCCCATTGCGTCCTTGCTGTTTATGTAGGGACTGGCACTGTGTCATCTGGCACTGCTCATGGCTCTGGGAGACAAGGAAATCTATGATACAGGCATGGATAATGCTGCTGGTAGTGGCCTTTCCCATAAACTCCAGGATTCTGTAGCCAGTGTGGCTGCTAGATATGAAATCACTGCAGTTTGGCAGGCTGCAAAGAAGGGGGAAGGGGAAATACTGCAGAGGACAAAACTTGGGAAGATGGAAAGTGCATCTTCTTTAATTGTCTCAGTTTTGCAGTTTGTCATCATTTGATATCAGTGAGTTTCTGTGCTGCATCGGGAAAGACCTTGAAATAATGAATGGAAAGGAAGGAGAATAAAACTTGGGTGCTGCTGAACTGGAAAGGAATAAAAAAGAGAAAAGAGTTGCACTGAAAATTGCACTTGGCTTGCGGCCACAGGAGCTGTATTTCTTCCCAGAACTTACTCTTGCTTTTTGGGATTCCTTCCTTGAGTTGAGTTCCGTCCATGGCTCAGTCTGTGGCAAGGGTTACCTCACAGACTGTCTGATTAGATCTGGTTTCTAGGAAATAAGAAATCAAGATGATGAGCACATCTGCAGGCTCCCAGGCTTGCTCCTGTTCTCCAGGCTCATGCTGTTCACCTGGCCAGCTTGGCAAAAGCATCAGCTGGAAGAGTTTGAGGCTTCATAGCTGTTCTTAAGGAGAGAGGCAGGAGGGTTCTCACTTCCCAAGCTGTAGGGACTCTTTCAAGGCCAGGTTGGGCACAGGGGCTTGGAGCAATCTGCTCCAGTGGAATGTGCTCCTGCCCATGGCAGGGAGTGGGAATTGGAGGAGCTTTAAGGTCCCTTCCAACACAAACCAGTCTGTGGTTCTATGACAGAGACTTCTGTGCCCTGAGGCCAGATCCAAAGTCGCTGAAGTTCACAGTAAGAAGTTTATTGAGTCATTTAGGCCACCTTAACTGCAGCATGCAGGATGGGATTCAGCCGGCTGAGCTCTCCGCAGCTCTGAGCCGGTGCCATGTAGTGCTCTCTGCTACCTGCCCGCTATCTCAGCAGAGAAATGTTCTCCCTCTGAGCTTGCAGACTGGAGCCTGCTCCAAGCTTTTGCTTCCCAGTTCCCAGTTTGAGGAAAGCATCATTTAAAACTGCAGATCAGATCGTGCTGGGCTGCCTTTGTTCCCGGTCTTGGATTTCAGCATTTGCTTGCAATAGCAGTGACCTCCTGTTCAGGTTACAGACACACAACATGGATTCTCATTCCCATTTAAAGGTTGGATCAGTTGAAGAATGAATGACATTGCTCCAGACACAAGTGCAGGCAGGCAGTCCTGTAGCAGTCATACCTGGAAGGAAGAAAACCCAGCACCATCTTCCATGTTCCCCTGATAGGTGATTCACAGGCTGAAGACAGCTCTACGATGCCACCTTTATGTCTGGCGTGGTTTCAAAGCATTCTGTCAATTTGAGCCAGTCTTACTCCAGACAGAAGAACTTAATGAAACTACATGGTGTATTACGAATGTAATCATCAACATGGTGTAATTCTACACTAATCGTGGTCATGCTTTTTCTGTGTGCAGCATGAAGAGACACTGCTTGTAATGACTTTTCCTGGCTGTGCTTCAGAATAGGGTGCAGTTGACAGTGGAAATTCTTTGTCATGGTTTGAGTGAAACATTTCTCTACAAAGATAGAAAACCCAGCAACAACCCTGCCTGTCTGTCAGTCAGAGGAGCCATGGGATGGGCCACTTCTCTTTTCATGCCATGGTGATTTCAGCAGCCTCAAATGGATGCATGTGATCACTTTTTGTGTTCATGGAGATAAAAAATGAAATAGGGAGTTTATCAGTGTCATGATGGAATAACAGCTTCAGGTTCGGTAGAAGTGGGGAAAAGCAAAACACAGACTAAGTGGATGCTTGTAGTTGTGGGGTTTGAAGGAGGAGGGAGGAGCACATGTACTCGTGTACGTGATTTAGTTTCATTAATAGACTGAGTTTTTCCCTCTTGTTTCTGTCGTTGTCTCCTCTCCCAGGAACACCTTTCTACCCAAGTCAGCCAGTGTATCAGTCAGCACCCATCATAGTGCCTACACAGCAGCAGCAGCCTCCACCAGCTAAAAGAGAGAAAAAAACGGTGAGTGATGGTCATGGATTGGTGCATCCCACCTGAGATCTGTCCTGGTTGTAAGCTTGAAGGAAGTTAGTAATGATCTTAAGCTTAAACTGAGCTTTATCATCAGAGAGAGACCAAGTTTTGCACCTAAAGTGTAATTAAACACTGCACAATGCTGCAAGACTGTCTCATTTCTGGTTTTTGCTGGTTTTGCAGTGAACATAAATGAACACCAACACTGGGTGCCCAGGCCTGAGTCCTTCAGCTGCCTGCGCTGCTGCTTCGAGCTATACCAGTGAACAGACTCTGATCGGTTTGGGAGAATGTTGGGAATTGGTTTAAACTGACTAAAAGGGAATAGTTTAATATTTTGCCTTGGAAAAGGCAGAAAACCAAGTTGTGGACATACTGGCAGGATTGAAAGAACCTGAACACATTATGAAAGCAAGTGGGGGTTTGGAGGCAACTCTTCCTCACTTCCCAATTCACTGGTGAGAGTTTGAGAGAGGCAGATTATTGGATTATCATTGGGTTATTATTGCAGGTGGATGGTGGAAGGGAATAGTAAAGACACTGAGTGAATGTAATCTTTAAACAGAAAGAGTCCAGGGTGGTCTTGAACTTGTGGATGGATCTTTTCTAAACAGCTGAAAAGGGAATTGCTTTACATCACTACATGTTTTGGAGTGGTTTGAAAGCCTTCAAAGAACTGTTTCCTGAGGGAGGAGGAGGGGAAAGGGACTTGTTTGTGTCTCAAAATGCAGAATATTTGTATCTTTGAGTTTTGAAGATGACCTGAGATGAAGTTTGAGTTCAGAAACTGAAAGAGCTGAACAATGTGTTTGCTGGGCTTGTGAGAATGGCTTTTCTTGTAGCTGCTGTCAGCACAGGGTGAGGCAGCTCTTGCCACCTCCTCGCTAGGCCTGAGGAGTTTCTTCTCAGCATCCAGGACATGACATGGCCACATCGTTGATGCTGTTTGAAATGCAGAGACATTCAGGAACACTCAGCTGTGGTTGAGGCAGTTTCATGCCAGTGAAGCCAAGTTCTCTGAAGTGGAAAGGAGAAAGGTTTTTTAAATGCCTGAGCTGTTTTTCTCTGAATGCTCTGTTCCAGTTTGCTAATTGGGGCTGGGGCTGAAGAAATGAGAGAAATTAAAGAAAAAGTAAACATATATATGTACACATGCCCTCGTGCACCATTAATTGAGCATTCAAGTACTACAAACCATCAAGCAGGGAAAGTTCTAATGCCATTGACTGCTTGTCAGGAGGAGGAGAGGGCAGGGATTTGTGCCAACTCCTAAGTCCTTGTGCTGTGGTTAATGAAATGTTTTAGCAGAAAAACTCCCATCAAAACTAAGAGAAAGCCACATCTTGGCAGCATCCCGAGCACCATGTGTGTATTTATTGTAAATCAAAGAGTCAGGAAGAATCACACGACACTGAAGTGGGTAAATCACAAACCCCCTCTGCAGTTCGTGACTTTATGTGATGCTGATAAAAGCCTGGTGTTTTCCAGGGAGCCCCCTGCCCTCAGAGGATTGTGTCTCTTGGTTGTGCATTGTGCTCAGCATGATGGGGGCTTCTGCACCAGTTTAAATAGAGTTAAACCCAGAGCTTCTGAGAGGGTGGACAAACAGCAGCACTGTCTTCAGGCTTATGAAAATCTTTAATTCTTATATTGAAGATTAAAACCTCTGTTTCAGATTGACCCAGCGAGCGTGACTGTTCCTGCATTCAGTGACTCAGATGGGCTCAAGTGTCAGTTGAGGATTCAAATGAGTGTGCTCTTGAGTGGTTTATTTTGGAAAATGTTTTTCCTTTCCCATTTTGGGGCTGTGAAGAGTCTCAAACCCAGGCTTGTTTCCTAAATGCTGATGAGTTTCATAGGACTTGAGTTTGTTCTTGCGGTTTCCCTTTCCTTCCAATATTTTTTGCTTCCCTCTCTTTTGTTGGTGTGACTCTTCCCAGCGTGGAAGGGAAAAGCAAGAAGAGCTGATTTGCTTTCCCCCTTCACAAGCAGCTGGCTTGGCAAGGTCACTGGATTCCATATCAGGGTAAAACAGGGCCTTTTCGCTTTAATTCTTGCACTTTCCACTGGCTGGCAAATTAGTTCTGTAGCAAAACTGTCTGACAGATTTTCTTAGCTGCAGTAAACTTCCTATCCAGCAGTAGAGACCGTGCTCTGAATTACGGGGTCACACACTGGGTGTGAAGGTATTTAGACCTAACTGGTGTGGTGTTCTGATGAAATTAGAGATTAAGGGATTGAATTAGATACCAGGCATTTCAAGTTATCAGAACAAACCACATTCCAGCCTTCCTGCAGAGCATCAGCTTGACCCAGAGCGACTCCTACTGAGTGTAATGGAATTATATCCTGTCCAAGTCTCCTCTCCATAAACCCCAAGGAGAGTGTGTAGTGGGAAGACTCACTTGAATTCATTCTCTGTTCAATACTGTAGATCCGAATCCGGGATCCCAACCAGGGAGGCAAAGATATAACAGAAGAAATCATGTCTGGGGGGGGCAGCAGGAACCCAACGCCTCCCATCGTGAGACCCACTTCCACACCGACTCCACCTCAGGTAAGGAAGTGGCCCTGTAGCCCTGTCCCAGTGATGTCTGCTTTGCTTTGCTGGTTGCTAGAGCCAAACCCCACATCTCCATCCACACCACCCCTCACCTCCAATACTGGGATGGTCCTAAATTGTCAGTGTTCTGCAAGGATTTGTTTTCTCCCTTCCAAGTTTAGTCATTTTTACCAGCTGCTGCTTGTTGCCCATCCCTGGTTCTCTATCAACAGTAGGTTTTAGAGCTTGTAAAGACTTTCAGTGTTAAAGGAGAGGTGAGAAATGGGATGTTTCTGTCGGAGTCTTGTGTACCTGAGGAAAGTCCGTATCATGCATGTGATTGATTATATATCACTGTCCATACTAATGTCTTTCTCCTTAAGTAATGTTGGTTTGGAGTCACCAGGATGCCTGTAGCTCAGGAATTTTGTCACAGAATTGGGATAAATCTATTGCACATTTGGTCTCTGCCTGTTCACCCTTAAAAAATGCATTTTTCTGATGCAGGAAAAAGCATAAATATTCCAAATGGACACTTGCCATAACTCATAAACCTCATTCTGTTACACACCTTTGAGTTTGACCCCTTGTAAGTCTCTGTATTCTGCTTCACCTGGAAGTCCATGTGGAATGTCTGGAAATAAAACCGATTGGAAATGCAGGTCTGTTGTAGTCCTTTGGGAGCCAGGGCCTTGCAGACCAGCAGTGCTGACTTGAACCTAAGTCCCCATGACATGAGCTGCTGGGGCTGGAAGTGACCACGTTATCTAATCAGCAAATGATTTCCAACCACCCTTCCCCACCTGCAGCAGGAAGAGGTGATGCCTCCTTGATCATCAGAGGTGGAGAGGAGGCATGGGGCATCTCTGGTCCTCTTACCTCCTGGCTTAACATCCCTGCTCTTGGCTTCATACATCCTCTTAATTCTCCCTCTCTTTTGGGAGAGATGCTGCTAAGCCACAGGCTGGTAAACTGAAAAGTGTTTGAACAATTGGAGAAGAAACTCTTATTTTTTGGCAGAAGCCTTGGAAGTTGGCCATGTTTAGTTGGAGGTTGTTGTCCACTGCTTGGATTAGAAGACATGAAGGTTCTCCAAGTGATGGGTAGGCTTTCGATCAGAGCCTGGCTGAGGCTGGGGTGCATTTCTTCTTCTTCCAAAGTTCTTCCCTTGAGACCAGTGGGATAGTTACAGCTTTTGGCCATTACCCTGGATCAGTCAAATCCTTTTGTCATATGAAGGCATCAGTTTTGGGTCACCTGCTTTCACCTGCTGGTCTCCATCGTGGGAAGCAGCAGCAAGGCACCTCAAGCAGTTCCTGGTTCTGCAACAAGGTGTGTGATTCTCAATTGGAAAAAGCTGGTTTCTGCCACAGGGTTTCTGATCTGGGGATTTGTGACTGGAGCTGGAAGGGGAGAGAGCCCAGAGCTGGTTACATGTAGAATCAATTAGACTTTTCCAAGCCTTTTCCATCAGAGAAGACACTAGAGATGCCAAGCATTTGCCTGCTGGTGAGATCCCCTTCCCACTATCTCATTCTAAATGACTTTCCCCATTAGAAGTGTGGAAGAGCTGAAAGCAGCCAGGTTTCAGGTCATGTCTATGCATGGTGCAGCTAATTCAGGCATTTTCTGGATCACTTTGGCATTCTGAAAGCTATTTTAAGATACTACAATTAAGTCAAACAGGACAAAATGAATGTTTTTCAAGAGGAGGTTAATAGGCATGAATTTTGATCAGCTGTAATTCAGATGCAGAGCACAGCAGTGATGTCCAATCATCTACTCTGAGTAAGGTATGCAAATACTTCATTGTTTAATATCCAGGCTTCGTTCTGATGAGGTACTTGGAACCACTTTTGTTAATCACAGAAGAGCTCTGGAATAGCGCTCACCAGAAAAAGTTCATTAGTGTAAAATAACTGAAAATTAAAGCCCACTTAAGCCAGGAAATTCAAAGTTATTGTCCCAACAGCATCTCTAATTCATTTCTTTGGAGCAAGTTTAGGATCTTGAATGAAATTAGATTGTGCCTTAATAGCTGTGCTCAGTGCCTTAATTCCAGCAGTGGAATGTTCCAGTAGTGGATGTTACAGTCTTGAACAACCTAAAATCAGTAAACTAAATATTCATAGACTCATCATAGAATCCCAGCCTGGTTTGGGTTGAAGGGACCTTAAAGCTCCTCCAGCTGCAACCCCTGCCACGGGCAGGGACACCTTCCACTAGAGCAGGTTGCTCCAAGCCCCTGTGTCCAACCTGCCCTTGAACACTGC